TACAAAGGTAGTTCTCGCTGCATTTCGCACGGAATTCGCAGGCAAGAGCAAGTATTTAACAGTAAAAGTTAATGGTATTCCAGTCACCTTGCAAATAGATACGGCGTCCGACATCACAATCATTTCGCGATCCACTTGAATGAAGCTTGGAAGACCAGCATTCAAGCGCACAACTCTGACGGCTCAAAATGCATCCTGGAGAACCGCTGAGATTGGATGGAGAGATTGAATGTGAGGTCAACTTCAAGGAACTACAACTCCGCGGCACAACCCACCTAGTCTCATGCACCGACGTCAAACTTCTCGGAATCGACTGGATTGAAAAGCTAAACTTGTTCAATGTACCACTGAATCGTGTCTGTGCTGAAAGGAATGTCACGGTGCACCATACAGCCATACCGACTCCTCCGGGTCAAAGCATCTCTGAACAGCTTCAAACGAAGTATGCGTGTGTATTCCAGTCGGAACTTGGACACTGTAAGAAAATGCAGGCAAAACTTACTCTGCTTCCGGATGCCAGACCAGTGTTTCGACCCAGACGTCCTGTCCCTTATGCTTCTCAAGCATTTGTTGAACAGGAACTTGATCGATTGCAGCAGACCGGAGTGATCGAGCGAGTCAATTTTTCACCGTGGTCTGCGCCTATTGTTGTGATCAGGAAACCGAACGGTTCTATTCGTTTGTGTGCAGATTTTTCGACGGGTCTGAATGCTGCACTGGAACCCCATCAGTATCCGCTTCCACTCCCTGAGGACGTGTTTGCAAAACTGAACGGAGGCAAGTATTTTGCTACTCTTGACCTTGCAGACGCCTATTTGCAGTTAAAAGTTGAACCCGAAAGCAGAAAGCTGCTAACAATCAACACGCATCGCGGCCTCTACCAGTATAACCGTTTGCCATTTGGAGTCAAAACGGCACCGGCAATCTTTCAGCAAGTCATGGATGCCATGCTGACGGGTGTAACCGGAGCGGCAGCCTACCTGGATGACATCATAATAATGGGATCGACGCAAGATGGGCTAGTTCAACGATTGAATGACGTGCTACAAAGAATCAAACATTACGGTTTCCGATTACCAGCGGACAAGTGCAAATATTTCCTGAAGTCAATTACGTTCCTGGGTTTCGTAATTAACGAGAACGGCCGACGACTCGATCCCGAAAATATCGAGGTGAGAGACCGGTTACCGGCGCCATCAGATGTCCCAACTTTACGGTCATTCTTTGGGATGGTGAGTCACTATAGTGAACTGCTACCATGCACGCATCGCTTGCGGCATCCTCTAAACCATCTGCTGATGAAAGACGTCGAATGGAAATGGTCTGCACAGTGTCAACAGTCGTTCGAGAAACTGAAATCTCTGCTGAAGTCAGACTTACTGCTTACGCATTCTAACCCGAAGCTGGAGATTATCGTTGCCACGGATGCTTCAAGCTATGGAATTGGTGCTGCCATTTCACATCGTTTTCCAAATGGATCCGAAAAGGCTATAGCACATGTTGCACGGGCGCTGACGGCATTCGAAAAGAATTATAGTCAGGTTGAGAAAGAGGTGCTGGCCATCATCTTTGCAGTGCAGAAGTTCCATAAGATGGTATATGGTCGACGGTTCACGTTGGTGACTGATCACAAACCGCTTCTGACAATCTTTGGATCCCAAAAATGGGATTCCAGCATATACGGCCAGTCGACTTCAGCGATGGGCAACTCTGCTCTTGGGTTATGATTTCAGCATGCGATACTTGTCTACGGATTCTATAGGGCAAGCGGACGCCCTTTCCAGATTAATCGATGCCGGTAAGCGTGAGTCAGAAGACGCAGTCATTGCCTCCATCGCAACCGAAACGGATGTCACCTACATGGTACGTGACGTCATGCCGGTCACTGGCAAAATGGTGAAGCAAGCCACTGAACGGGATGCATTGCTGCAAGAGGTATTAACCTTCACAAGACGGGGCTGGCCAAAGAAGTGCCCGAAAGAAGCTTTGACCGTTTTTCACACGACGCAACTCTTTGTCTGAAGTTGATTCCTGCCTGTTTTTAGCAGATCGCATTGTCATTCCAGAAATACTCAGGTCACCCGTGTCACGGCAACTGCACAAGAACCATCCAGGAATCGCTCGCATGAAAGGCGCTTGCGCGCAGCTACGTTTTTTTGGCCCATGATGGATAGCCAAATTGAACATCTTGGCCGATCGTGCTCCAGATGCATCAGTGCCTCCAAGTTACCGGTACGTTCTACATTACAAGCTTGGCCAAACCCTGAATCGCCCTGGTCGCGCATACACATCGATTTCGCAGGACCAGTCGAAGGAGTGCATTTCCTCGTTATTATTGACGCCTATAGTAAATGGCCGGAGGTAATCATTATGCAAAACATGTCGGCCAACAGCACAATTATTGCGATGAGGACATGTCTTCAGTCAGCACGGATTGCCAGTAACAGTCGTGTCAGATAACGGGGCACAGTTTACGTCCTGTCAATTTGCTGCATTTTTTGCACCGAATGGGATCGAGCATGTGAGGACCGCCCCGTATCATCCGCAGTGTAATGGCCAAGCGGAAAGATTTTGTTGATGCCTTGAAACTAGCATTGTGGAAGTCAAAAGGGGAGAGATCGTTGGACGAAAGATTGGAACGTTTCCTGTTGAACTATAGAGTTACCCCGAATCCTAATGCACCAGATGGCAAATCACCAGCTGAAGCACTTATGGGTCGATGGTTGAGAACCACACTAGATTTGCTGACCCCCAAGCGCCCGTCTCTACAACTACGGAACTCAGTGATGGAGGGTCAGTACAACAAGCGGTATGGTGCAAGAAGAAGGATTTTCAAAGTGGGCGATCTTGTGTTGCAGCTGCGAATCAAGGACGGTGGATCGCATGGATAACAGGATGAGTATTGCAGCGCCGAGGCAACGTGATGTATGATGTTCAAGTGTATACACAGGTGTGGAGAAGCCACGTAAATCAGTTGAGGGCACGTCATACACATGATGCCGCCGTTCCGAAAGCCAACGGACTTGACGTCAATGAATTGCTGGACACCGGCAAGCCTCGTACTCCTGCAGGTGGTGATATTAGTCCAGTGGAATGCATGGAAAATGGAGCTCGCCACAGGCCAAAGAGAACAAGAACATTCGTGCAACCTCTCCAAGTGGATCCGCGTCGAGAGCTATGTGAACCCCAGGTAACCTGTTTTTTAGGGAGGTGGAGGTATTAGGAGAACAGCTATTAGACATTCATTTATTGTGACCGAGCTTGATAGCTATTCTTTACTCTTCCTATCTTCTATTCTTGACTGTTGTTTAAACGCTCCACTGGGTTCGCCCCATTGGTACGTCCGCGTCATTGTTTATGGATGCTCATCGTCATGCCCTTCTCAGCAGCGCTGTTTGCAAGAGCATATTCTATTGGTTTTTTCTTCTCTTCACTGTTCTACTTAGTTATGTTAAAGGAATATTTAGTGTCACATAATTATTGTACTAGTTTTCAACTTTTGGGTCTGCATTCCTTATTCGTGTTTGTTTCGTGACTTTTGTTTAAACGTTTCATTTTGTCATTCTGAGTGGCCAGTGCCCGTCACTGTAAAATGGTCGTTCGTTTTACGCTTGGAGTCCAATGATGCTATTTTTAGGGACCTACGCGATTCGCTCTTACATACACGGTTGCTTATTCGCCGTTGCATTTTACGTTTTTCCTTCAGTTGGTTGGCTCAAGTGTACTTTAGTAGCTTCCCCTTCATTTTGCCTTCAAACTATATAAGCAACTGTGATTTCATGTATACAAGTCTCCTTCTGGCTCTTTTTTGGACTTCTTCTTGCGCTCGTGGGGTGAAGGCATCAGCGGCGACACAACACTTATAAAGAAAATTCCGAAACCCACCAAACCTATGTGGAAAGCTGGGGAAAAAATTTTATAGTGTTGATTTGTTTGGATAAATCTCGAAATACTAGATAGACTGCGTTTTATGTTTTCCTGTTGTCAACTGATCCAGCATGGATGATGCACTGGAAGCAAGGCGTGCCGGATATGCATTGTTAACTCGTATGACTGACCATCAAACGTCGGTTGATCAAGCTTTTTGAAACTACCGAATACAAATGCAGCAGCAAACATTCGGTGCAGATACTACAACTTTAGCCTAGTACGTTGCTCAAGGTTGATCAGTTATCACATCGGATTCAAATAAAGTACGCATACCATGTAACGGAAAGTCTGCACTTTCCCAGCCGTCATCGTAAAGCACCCGGAGGTATGTTCCGGATCGCCTTATTTCGGTACGTTAAAATTGCAACTGAAAGAATCATCGAGGACAATTTCTCTGATTGGGAAAACATCTGATTTGGTTCTAGAGCATAGAGAAAGTTGAGAACGCTCGTCCCAGCCAGAATTATGCAGATAGTTTGCAAATAACCGCAAAATTTTATACGGCCGGTTTGTGCCCTAGGATTCGTCAGCAGTGTTCGTTTTCTGCCTGATTGTATTCTTCCGGACTTCTGTTACAGCAAAATCGTAAAGGCCGACTCCATGAGTGACTACGTTGAACCACCAACGATGTTCCTGGATGCGTTTTGTTTGTGCATCTGCAACCGGCTGCGGTGAACCTATTCGAAATTACTAGCAATTCATCTGCTGCACTCTAACCGCTTTTGAAATATTTGTTCATAAAGCAGAACAACAGAATGACCGAAATAGAAGTTTTCAACAGCATTACCTAAACCAATTCGTCACGGGCTTCAAATTAGGATGAAAACCTAGACGATCTGCATTGCGTAGTCTATACAAGAAATACACGCATGAAAATCAATCAGTGGTCGCTGCTGGCTAGACGGAGAACGGATTAACTTAACAGTAAAACTTATCTTTTATCGGTTGTATAATGGTGTTTCCACTTACTCTCCCAGTCTTTTACCGACTCAAGAATCTCATCTATGTTAGAGAAAATTGGCACTACTGCACTTGTGTACTGCAAAATTAACATGGAAACAACGACTTACTTTTTGGTTGGAGACGTAGGTGCAAAACAGTGTACCAGGTCCGTAACATCCCTCTCGCTCATCGCATGTATCGCGTTCACCAAACTCTTTGCGCTGAAATACAATGGATGGGCTGAGTGAATGCAAACTTCGCTTATGATGTGCTGCAGCCTATAATACCAAAGTGACTTGAACCGTGGCAATCGCGTTACTATCTAGTTCTGAAGCGTGGTCACAGATAGTTCATTGAAGTGCAATTCAATGGTTTACGCTTTTTGTGGTCAACAGCATGGTAAACAGTTCATGTCAAATAAGTTATGCTTCCATCCAGCTAAAGTACATGATTAAACACAAGCGAATCTGCGCCATCATCATCATCCTCCTCATCAGTACACGTTAGCCGAGGATGAGAAATACACCGCAGCGAATATGCCGCAATGCAAAAAAACAAGGTTAAATACTGCAGCCTACAATAATTACAAACAATTGACATGATGCTAAAGAGCATGTTATTCTTGGCGATTGAACTCGTTGTTGGAGAAGGCAGCTAAAGAGGAGGGGAGGACAAAGCGATTCCCAGCACAAACGCCTCCGGGGTTAACTCTTCGCCAAATCAGCCAGTGTGTCCAACCAAACGTGTTTGCCTTCCTTCGGTCCCTAGCCCGGCAGTAGGGAAGCACAAACTGACGTCAACTTCGAAGTGAGGGACTTCACTCCTTTAGACCAAGTCACGGCATGGCTTCCCCTCTTTTTCCAATCCACAACCCCGGCGAGCAAACAATGCAAGTTGTGCGAGTCGGTGTGCCGGTTTGCGCAACACGTGGCCTAGCCATTGGAGCCTGGTGCATGATATAATGATGCTGAACGGTTCACCCGTTCTTCCTGCACCAAGTACGCTGCGCCGAACACGCTAGTTGTTCATGCGGTGCTCCCACCAGACATTAGTTAAGCTGCGAAGGTTGCAATGGTTGAAAGTAGCAAGCCCCTTTAATTCTGTCGACCTGATTGCTCAGCTCTACATCCACGTGAGGGCTTCGCAGAGCTTTCCGCAAGATATTGGAGAGCCAAATACAGACAAGGCTAGTGACAGCATAAAACGGCGCGTCCCAAGAAAAATCCACAAAGATAACGCCGAAGGTTGAGTCGAATATCGGGTGTATGCTGATCATAAACAAATGGCAAAATATGTGCTAGCCAAAATCACCACAATTAAGTTGGAAAATCAGACAGCTTGATAATACCTGTAGCACACACTAATAGCTGTGGAAGGAAAGAGAGCTATCTATAAAAGGTGATGGGTGTCTTCCCACTCTATCAGTATTGAAGTTATGTCCGCGATAACTGAACAGACTTATCGGATATGGGGTGCAACGCGTTGGGATATGCGCAACGATGTAATAAACGCATGGTTATGCTGCTGATAGATTTCGATGAAGATGCATTTGCAAGTATTATCTTTTCATCTTAAATGGGTATAACACAAATATACCTCTTTAACCGAGGTAAAAGCCGCCATTGTGTCCATACTCTGTTGGCTTAGAAATAAGCTGGCCGAAATATGTGTAAGCACGTAAATAAACATATATGGAAATATCAAAAAGATTTATCGGTGTAATCAAACATGGACAATAATGGTGATTGGCTCTAGACTGGCACCCGAAGTTAAAAACTGACACATGCCTACGCAAACCGAGAAAAGAGAGCTTAATAATAATTTCACATAAGTCGTTTTAGGCAACTGAAACTCCGCCAGTAATGCCGCCTTCAGTTCGCTGAAAGAACACCTCGCTTTGGACCGCCGTGTTGGCAGATACGTCGTTCTCGCTCTGCCGGTTAACAACGCGCCCAGGGCCGTTAGCAAATTGGCATCCCCTTGACTCGGTTACAAGCCGCACTTGCCTCGAACTCATCAAGTCACGCCTCTGCATCTCCGTCCGCAAATTGCGCTGGCCAAGGTAACTTCATCCTGATTGGTCACGGCACCAATGTTGCATGAGCGACGGTAGGGGGCGCACCGTTTTTATTGCCTACGCACGAAGGGTTCACAGGCTAGCATGCATGCGCGCACGTATAGGGGACATCTCTTGACCATCACGCACCACACATTGGCCTTTTACTCGGCGTCACATTCAAGTCCCGGATTCAGACTGTCAGTGAAGTAGTCGCACGTCGATTCGTCCTCGTAGCTTCTCTTTCACGCGTATTATGTTGATCGGGCTGCATTCGTTCTAATGCGTTCTAATGCTTACTCGGGTTGCGTCGCTCTCCTCGTGGTTATTCCTGGAGGCGCGACCAAACACATATCTCTTCGGAAATTCGGTCTATGCACCAATACGTCCCACGCTCTACTTGGCCCGGGTCTGAAATCGTTTGTCGTTCGTTGTCCGTTTCCGGCTTGTCCAGTAGCTCACGAGCTACTTTGTTGACTTTCGTCCCCGGTGACCTCGTTACTTTTCATCTTTCTTAGTTTTGGCAGTTTGTCCTCTCTGCCAGTGATCCTTGCATCCGTGACACTACCCCACCCCTTCTCGAAGATCTGGTTCCCTCGCATACCATGGTCGTAATAAAGCTGTTTTCAACCAGCGTTCTGCCATCTCATTGTCTATTCTGAAGTTCACACCTTCCCTCTCGATAATGGTATAGGACCTTTTAGCTTTGGTTAAACTTGCTCGCGCCTGATCTTCCATGTGCCTGCGGATCATTATTATTACCCAGTCTTACTTGGTGTCCTAGGTAGAATAGTCTCCCTTTGTCGTCTAATATCGTACATCATAGTTCCGTTTGTTGGTTAATTGTCATGCCTTTTTCCCCTTCTGGTGGTTATTTTTATTCCCCTGTGCTACGTTGCTGGATGTTTGCACTGGCGATCCATCACCAACCATGTATTGATTGGAATTCTCGACTGTTTCCCAAATTGTAATTGGAAAGGCCAAACCATGTTGCTGGACTGCATGCTGGTTTGCTAAGGGAGTAGTACTTCGGGCACTGCCTCTTCCCATGCCAACTTGGTACACTTCCTTATTGTCTTCATCGTCCGGTTAAACTGTTCTGTCCTCCCATTGGTTTGAGGGTGATACGGGGAAGTGCGTCGTCTCTGGATCCTCTATTTCGCTAATACTTCTTGGAACGCTTTTCACTCAAAGCACGGACCTTGGTCAGTAACAACGCAATGCGGGATTCCATACCACTCCGGTACATTGAATTCGAACGTCCGTATCGCGCTGTCATCATCTTTAATAGGTATGTCTCGACCCATCGTGTGAAATGATCACAAAGATGTGAGAGTTACCTGATCGGCTCAGTGGCAAAGGTCCAAATACATGCAGACCCCAGCGCTGTAGAGCTTTGTAACTTCAATCGGTTGCACTGGCGATCTGGGCGCATGCGCTTCCCAGCTAGTTTGACAGTTCGAACGCCCCGAAGATATGTCACTACATCCCATTGCACGTTGGGCCAAAACACTCGTCTCCGTTACAAGGCGAAAACTCTCACATCCCATGTGTGCATTATCATGAATCATTTGAATTTTCCGGTTCCTTTGAGCTGATGGGATAAACAGCAATTTCTTTTCGTTTCTTGCCAACAGCAAATTGCCATTTACAGTGTACAACTGGTCCCAGACCTTAACGAGTCCCTTTGCCTCATCCGATATCGTATCCGGCTTGGTGTACATCCGTAAATAACTGTACAGCGATTGCACTAGTTCGTCCTTCCTCTGTATTTCGTGTAGGTTGCTCCCCTCTACTGTGATAGCACACATTGGTATCGCGGTGTCTGGTTTGATGTTGTCCAACGACGGCCGCGACACTATGTCAGGTAGTACGTTCTGCGTCCCGTCTACGTGCCCGATGGTGAAGGTAAATGCTTCAAGTTGTTATACCCATCGTGCAAGACGCCCTCGTGAATCCTCCTTGCCATCAACCACAACAGTGGTTTGTGATCCGTCATAACGTGGAATTCATTCGCCAAGAGGTAGGTTCTTGTCCAAGGCGTAAACGGTAGCAAGACATTCCTTCTCCGTTGTGGAGTATTTCCGATCCGCACTAGTCAGCACTCTACTGACATATTCTACTACATCCGATGTTTGGAAAAGCACTGCACCGATTGCGAGGTTGCTAGCATCGAATACCACAATAAACTCCTCCCCTAGATTGGGTATTCATAAGCACTTTATGGATTCTGCGACGCATGTCTTTATGCGGTTGAAAGCCTCCTCTGCTTCGGTTGTCCACAACGACGACTGGTCTTTGTGCAGCAGCTTCAATAATGGGTTGATGCATTCCGCAAAACGAGAGATATATTTCTAGTCATAAGCCACTAGTCCGAAGAAGAAACGAACCTGACATTTTGACATCGGGATCAGAAAATTCTGGATCGACTCTAGTTTCTCTGGCAGTTGCCTATTTGATCGTTCCTCACGATGTGACCCAAGCACGCAATTGACCCCTGAGGTATTTGTGATTTCTTGCGGCTTAGCTTCAACCCGGTTTTCTCCAGTCGTTTTAGTTCGGCCGCCAGCCTGCTACCATGCTTGTCTTCTGTCGCGGGGACTAGAACGATGTCGAACCCGTAAACCAACATAACAGAGGTTATCCAGTATCATGAGCCGCAGTCGTCCGAACGTGGCGGGGGAGTTACACAGTCCAAATGACCTCCACAAAAAGTCGCACTGCTGACCCTTCACACTGAAAGTTGTTTTGTATCGCTCCTCTTACGCGATGGGTGGCTACCGATATCCTTAGCGGAGATCAATCAATAAAATCCACAGCGCATTATGACAACTGGAAAAAAGTTCCTCCATCTGTGGCATAAAGAAGGCATCCTTCGCCGTCACAAATTTCAGTTCCCTGAAAGCAATGCAGAATAAGTAGGTCCCGTCCGCCTTTCTCGTCAGGAACACTAGTGAGGAACACGGGCTTTTGACACACCTGATAATCGCTTTCGCCTCCATCTCTGCAACCTATTTCTTTACTTCAGGTAGGATCTTTAATTGTCTTCTCGAGAATATCGGTTTGCCTCGACACCCGGGCACTATCGGTAGCCGGTGTTTCATCCAGTTACAGAACCCGTATTCGTCATTCGAGTCGGTGCACAAATGCCCATACTTCTCCAAC